ATGCAAACTAAAGAATCCCTGTCTCTTGAAGAGCGCTCCTGTATGTAATCCTCTGAACATCCCTGTCTGTGGTGACCGTGTGTAATGCCCCTCTGAATAATCCTCTGCAACACACTGTCACCACATACGGATATTCAGAAGATTACACACGGTCACCACAGACAGGGATATTCAGAGGATTATTACAGTCACGACAGGAATATTCAGAAGATTATTACACACTGTCACCACAGACAGGGATTGTCAAAGGATTATTACACAGTCACCGCAGACAGGGATATTCAGAGGATTATTACACACTGTCACCGCAGACAAGGATATTCAGAGGATTATTACACACTGTCACCGCAGACAGGGATATTCAGAGGATTACTACACACTGTCACCGCAGACAGGGATATTCAGAGGATTACTACACACTGTCACCGCAGACAGGGATATTCAGAGGATTACTACACACTGTCACCGCAGACAGGGATATTCAGAGGATTACTACACACTGTCACCGCAGACAGGGATATTCAAGGATTATTACACACTGTCACCACAGACTATCAGAGGATTATTACACACCGTCACCACAGACAGGGATATTCAGAGGATTATTACACACTGTCACCACAGACAGGGATATTCTGAGGATTATTACACACCGTCACCACAGACAGGGATATTAGAGGATTATTACACACCGTCACCACAGACAGGGATATCAGAGGATTATTACACACTGTCACCGCAGACAGGGATATTAGAGGATTATTACACACTGTCACCGTAGACAGGGAATATCAGAGGATTATTACACACCGTCACCACAGACAGGGATATTCTGAGGATTATTACACACCGTCACCACAGACAGGGATATTCAGACACTTATGCTAATCGTGTTATTGCTAAGATTTGCGTTTCCTCCTCTGTAAAAAGGTGGTGGTGGCAGTGTGAAGGGTTAATTGCATAACCTGACCCAGTAACAAACGCTCTCAGGCAGCTGGCACAGACTGTGGTCCCGCGAGCTGGAAAATCTTTGTGCAGGGTGAAGCTGAGAGTGGCATTGTTACGCAAGTGAGAGCGCGGTGCGAGATCGGCTGGTCATTTGTCAAGAGTTGGTGAGAATGGCAGGGGTCGGGCACCGCACTCCACAACACCAGGCTCCAATTTATAGTAGCCATGGCGAACTTGGGATTTGTCGAGCCTTGGCTTATTCATCATCAATCCCCGCAGTGGACAATATAGAAACCAAAAACTTTTCCTTTTTCAGAATTGGCATACAAGAAAGACTTATTTTCTCTGCATCAGACGACACACAAAAGGCAAAAGAGACGGAATGTGAAATAGATGGAATTTTATTCTAATAGCTTTAATTACAGTGCTTGTTTGTCCAAATGAAAACAAGTTTACAAAACAGTTTGATTACGATTCGTTTACTGAAAGCAATAAGATTCCACATCACTAAATGAACCGGCTCGCACAGGTCCTTACGTTCCACCGAGTTCCAGCGTTTCAGTGTTGATCAGAAGAGGAATAAAAAAAAAAAAAAAAAATTTGTTATCAAATGGCAAATCTGAGCCTTGCAGCAAGAGGCATGCCGCCGGGAATGATTCCAGACAGGAGAGATGTCTGCGTTCTCATATGGAATGAATGCATATGGGGGGGGGGGGTTGTAGGCAATTGGTTACTGGTCTGTGTAAGAGTTGTAGAAAGGATCGGGATCAGGGCTGCGTAATGCGACTGAGGATTCTGGGAACACAGCCATCTCACCAGGAGCGCTGGACAGTGCACTCAGCTATGGTTTGGGAACTTCACTGACAAACCGATCTGAAGAAGTGGCTGGCAGGCAGTCACGTGGGCACCAAAGCCTGTCATCTGCATTGGACAGCCTTATCCAGAAGGCCACGAAATTCAACAGCACCAAAAATGTGTAAACACTTCAGTAAAATCTGTGTAGTTAAAGAAAAAAAAAAAAAAAGCCTTTCCGCTTTGCGAGGTCAAAGTGCATATCCAGCCAAAAGCTCACATTAAGGCCCCTTTCACATGGGAGGCCCAGTCGGGTCTGCCTGTCAGACCCTTCCTTGTCCTCTAAGGGTAGCCAGAATGTAAACAGACTTGTGTCCATTTATACCCAAAAGAAAAAAAAAAAAAAAAAAAAAAAAAAAAAAAAAAAAAGAGGGGCGCCATCTGAATGCAGTACGTAGGAAAAATGTAATGCGCCACAATGAAAAAAAAAAAAACACACTTTATCATTGTGGTCCATGCAGTTTCCTGCGTACTGCACTCAGATGGCGCCTCTCTTTTTGCATACAGAGCTGGCTTACTCCGGGATGGCTGCTGTCTGAAGCGGTTACTAGCCATAGACTTTATAGGGACTTATGGACATAGAAGACGACATTAGTGCGCCGAGATCTCTCCTCTATTCATGTCCATTTATAACCGGCTACCTCTGAAACCAAAAACGGAAGGGGGATCCGTTCCCCTCCGTCTGGCAGTCTGGTGTAAAACAGACAGCCGGTTTATACCGACTGCCCATATAGGAGAGTGGGCGGTGTCCGCTCTGCTTAAGCGGAGCAGACAGACCTCTGTCATCCGCCTGCACAGAGGGGGATCAGCGGACAGAATCCTGGCTGGGAGTGCGCCCCATGTGAAATGGGCCTTAACCCCTTGGCGCCTCCTGGCCCTTTAAGGGTTCCAGGGTTTTAGGGTCATGTGACCTCCGTGATTCTCGGTCACATGATCGGGAAAGGTCCCAATCGAAACCTTTCCTTGACCTTTTTAATAGATCGCAAATGTGCAGCCGCTCGGCGTCTAGGCCCAGATGCCGGAAGGCCACACATTTGCGTTCGGCCGGCGCGAAGAGGTTAAGCAGGGAAGGATCAGATTTCTCTGGGGCTTCAAAAGAAATGTCCCTTCTTGCCACAGTGACAACTCTCACCATACAGGAAGTGAGGGAAACTCTCCCAACAGCAGATTAGTAGAGAAGCTGAAACCGCAGCAAGCTTTGACTTCATCTGCAGAAACCGTAGTTACAGAGTAGAAATCGATCAAAATGGAGCATTTTAATGCCTTTTTCAGTACCAGCGATTCCAATCCTCCTCCGCTCTGGGCAAAGTTTTAGCCGGACATGCATTGAAGAAGGTAGGGACTAACAGAAGCACAAACGTTATGGCAGATCAGATGTGTACAGCTTCTACAAAGCGATATGCCACCTAGCTGAAGCAGCCACGTCATTGGATGCCATAAAACCGCCAACTGCTTTTTCGTGAGCAACAATCGCTGCCGTGACCACTTGCCATAAGCCACCTTCAAAAGCATTTGTCAGTGTAAGAATTGTTAAACCCCTTCTGCTGGCCGTACGTATACATGTGGCAGCACAGAGGTGGGCTTTTTTTAATTTTTTTCGGTGCTGCCACATATATGCACACAGGTGTTGCCAATTTGATCTTTGAGCACGCTCCGTTATGCACCCCCTCAGTATGGTCACTGCACTGTCGCCAACAGCTCCTGGACTTCCAGACATAACCCAAAGCCAAAGCTACTCCCCACCCCCATTGTAAGTCTCTTCTATCCAACCCTGTAAAGAAAAGACCTGTATACTTTCCTGTTCTGACGCCGCTCTGGTCTCCAGCGGCAACAACCGTGTGCAGGAGAGAAAGCCAACAACGGTTGGGAGACGATATTACCCATAGACTTACTATGGGGCATCTCGCCAGCTGCCCCGAATGCACAGAAGCCCCCCGCTGACAGCTCATCCTGGGACCGGAGCGGCTTCACAATAGGAAAGTATACGGATCTTTTCTTCACAGTGTTGGGGGTGGGGATAGGTTTTGCATTACGACTGGAATTCCACTTTAAAAAAAATGGAGGGCCGGGAGGCTGGGCTCCCAATCACACGATACCTGTAACAGCCAATCACATAATGGAGAAGCCCATGTAATACCTCTGGAAGTTACAATGTCTTAATGAAGGCAAGTGGGGGCGTCGGGAAGGGGTAAAGCATGTGAAGGTTCAAGTCCCCTATCCTCTTCTATTATGATCAGCACAGCTGCAGCGTCCCAATCGCTTTAAAAAAGAAAATAAACAAAAAAAAGGGCCGACGTTACTTTACAATTTTTTGTAACTGAATTTCCAGTGCAATTTAAAAAAAAAAAAAAAAAATTGCTCACTTTCCGTACTCTCGAGGCTAGGTTGGTTAGCATTGTACGGTTTTAATCTACAAAAGTCGTCACTCGAGCACAAACAGAAGCACAGAAGCGGCAAAAACGCAGACAGATCCAGTGGCGCGATTAGAGAGGACCTGTTCATCATGCAAAAGGGAATTTAGCGTCCCGTTTAACCCCTAAAATATGAATCTTCACCAGCTCCCATTTTTTTTTTTTTTAAACTGATTTCTAAAGCAGTCTCCAAAACGTTGACCAGCTTAAAAAATAAAAAAATGTTGTAACACGCCGTCGCCTTTTGGTTAGAAAGGGACTAAATGCACGCACCTGTTGGCATGTGAGGTAAACTGGCAAAAGGGGGGGGGGGGGGAAGGTAGCAAAACGATAAATTGCGCAGCCTCGATCACACACAAATCTTGTGATTTCACCTGCCTTCCAGTACTAGACGGTGATCTGATACGTTAAAAAAGAAAAAAAAAAAAAAAATGTAATATTGCATAGGAGTACCAGAAACTGCCTCATTGAAGAAACACAAAAACAAAAAAAAAAAAACTATTTACATTAAATAAGACACCTAACTGTGTTCAGGCTCTTCATTGCCACATGTACAGCATGGTATGATGCATACTGCGTGGGAGAGGGTTTGGGAATGAAGTACTGCTTCCAGCACTCAAGACCGCAAAGTTGACCAGTTTGCCACATTAAAAAAGAGAAGCAAATAGGGAGTAGGAAGGCATGAAGAGGAGATGAGGTGGGGAGAAAAAACAAAAACAAAAAAAAAAAAAAAAAAAAAAACATTAAACCCAAGAAAAAAAAAAAATATATATATATGATTGGTGGTTTTTATTTCTGGTTCCGGAGCTGATTGGACAGCCAATCCAGTCCTTCATAGAGACCATCTCCACTAGTTGCACAAGTTGCCTGGATGTACCAGTTTCTATGACGGAGGGAGTGCAGTCCTAGCTTGTCGGTTATTTCCGCTGCATTCATCGCGTTCGGCAGATCCTGCAAAAGGTTACAGAAAAGCATCGACTTTTAGGGGAACTTTGTAACGAAAGATTGCTTAGTAAGACTACACAAATCCTGTACATCAGGGATTCTAGCCTGTCACATGACTCAAACTTCTACAACAGATTTATTCCAAAACAGCAGTGTAAAAAAAAACAAACAAAAAAAAAAATTAAATAATATATCTATTTTTTTTTTTTTTTTTTTTTTTTTGCTTTAATGATTTGTTCCGCCACCAGCCTCTGCAATTATTAAATTTATAAAAAGAAAAAACCCACAATTATTTATATTAAATATAGTTTTTTTATTTTTTTATTTGTTTTATTAAAAAAAAAAAAAAAAAAAAAAAAACACACAAATTATATATATCTATATCCATAGATATTTTCTGTGGTTTTTTTTTTTTTTAATAAAATTTAATAATTGCAGAGGCTGGAGGTGGAACAAATCATTAAAGCAAAAAAAAAAAAAAAAAAATATTTTATTTATATATATATATATATATATATATATATATATATATATATAAATTGTGGGTTTTTTTTATTTTTATAAATTTAATAATTGCAGAGGCTGGTGGCGGAACAAATCATTAAAGCAAAAAAAAAAAAAAAAAAAAAGATATATATATTTTGCTTTAATGATTTGTTCCGCCACCAGCATCTGCAATTATTAAATTTATAAAAAAAACACCAAAAATTATAATATATATATATAAATAAAAAAATAAAATTTAAAAAACACATTGTTGCCAAGAAGCCCCATTCATCGGCTTGGGGACAATTAGCCCCACCCTCATCCTAGTCATACAACAGCAATTCTGATGCCACTCAAAGTAGTATATATATCATTGGGGTGATAAAAACTGTAAATCCAGCCATGATCTACCAGTCACAAATGGCCATAGTGGATGGGTGGGATTGTGACCAAACTGTTGCTGGCCACCACTGCAAGGCTGTACAGTGGGGAAAAATATTTGATCCCCGGCAGATTTTACACGTTTTCCCACTTACAAAGAAATGAAGGCTCTATAATTTTTTATCATATGTGTATTTTAAAAGGCAAAAAAAATCAACCCAAAAAAAAAACCCCGATACAAATGGAGTTGCAGTTCAGTGAGTAAAATAAGTATTTGATCCCCTACCAACCAACAAGGATACTGGCTATGAGCTCATGTGGTACACAGATTAGTCCTGTCAATATAAGAAGGTGCTAACGTCAACTCGTTATGTGTATAAAAGACACCTGTCCACGGAATTTTTATTCCTCCATTCAAACCTCATCACCACCATGGGTGAATGACCAAAGAACTGTCAAAAAGGGATGTCAGGGACAAGATTGTAGACCTGCACAAGGCTGGAATGGGCTACAAGACCATCAGAAAGAAGCTTGGTGAGAAGGAGACAACTGTTGGAGAGATTATTCACAAATGGAAGAAATACAAAATACCCATCAATCGCCCTCGGTCTGCAGCTCCATGCTAGATTTCGCCTCATGGGGTAAGGATGATCATGAGAAAAGTGAGGGATCAGCCCAGAACTACAGGGGAGGAGCTTGTGAATGATCTCAAGGCAGCTGAGACCACAGACACCAAACAAACCATTGGTAACACACTACGCCGCCATGGACTGAAATCCTGTAGTGCCCGCAAGGTCCTCCTCAAGAAGGCACATATACAGGCTCATCTGACGTTTGCCACTGAACATCTGAATGACTCAGAAAGATTGGGAGAAACGTGTTCTGGTCAGATGAGACCAAAATTGAGCTCTTTGGCATCAACGCAACTCGCCGTGTTTAGAGGAAGAAAAATGTTGACACTAAGAACATCATCCCTACAGTCAAGCACGGAGGTGGAAACATTATGCTTTGGGGCTGATTCTCTTGTAAAAGGTACAGGCCAACTTTGCCGCATTGAGGGGCCAAGTATTGTAAAATCTTGGATGAGAACTTTCTTCCCTCAGCACCGCATCAAAGGGACGATGGACGGGGCAATGTACCATCAAATCTTGGGTGAGAACCTTCTTCCCTCAGCACCGCATCAAAGGGACGATGGACGAGGGCAATGTACCATCAAATCTTGGGTGAGAACCTTCTTCCCTCAGCACCGCATCAAAGGGACGATGGACGGGGCCATGTACCATCAAATCTTGGGTGAGAACCTTCTTCCCTCAGCACCGCATCAAAGGGACGATGGACGGGGCCATGTACCATCAAATCTTGGGTGAGAACCTTCTTCCCTCAGCACCGCATCAAAGGGACGATGGACGGGGCAATGTACCATCAAATCTTGGGTGAGAACCTTCTTCCCTCAGCCAGAACACTGAAGATGGGTGGTGGATGGATGTTCCAGCATGACAATGAACCAAAACATACCGCCAAGGCAACAAAGGAGTGGCTCAAGAAGAAGCACATTGAGGTCATGGTGTGGCCTAGCCAGTCTCCAGACCTTCATCCTATAGAAAATGTATGGAGGGAGCTGAAACTTCAAGCTGCCAAGTGACAGCCAAGAAGCCTCAAGGATTTAGAGAAGATCTGTAAAGAAGAGTGGACCAAAATCCTCCTGAGATGTGTGCAAAGCTGGGAACCAACTACAAGGAATGTCACCTCCGTGACCGCCAACAAGGGTTCCTCCACCAAGCCATGTTTTTCTTGGGGGATCAAATACTTATTTTACTCGCTGAACTGTAACTCCATTTTTATCATGTGTTTTTTTGGATTTTTTGGCTGATATTCTGTCTCCATCATTTAAAATACAAAATCTGCAGGGGATCAAATTATTTTCCCTGTTGCAATGGATAGCTGCCATAGTGCTCTGCCGTTCTGTCAGTTGCTGGCTGCAGTGTGGGGGGGCAGTGTGGTGTAGGATTCAGGGCATCACACAGCTCTTTTTTTGTACAAAACTTTGTGAAGTGCACAAAACGTAAGTTCATTCCAAGCAATGTCCAGCAGCAGTGCTCTATACGGTCATGCGATTCGGCATAGTGTGCTGTGACAAGATGTAGCGCATGTCCTCATTGTGCAGCCCTAGGCTGTGCTGCGGTGTGAATAGGACACATAGGAAACAACTGTTACCCGTGTGCCCTACAGTGACTGACGTTTTACAATGCGGCAAAACATTGTCACCGCAGTATTTGAGCACTCTAATACAAACATTAACCTCTTGGCGCCTGCCGAACGCAAATGTGCGGCCTCCCGCGTCTGGGCCTAGACGCCAAGCGGCCGCACATTTGCGTTCTATTAAAAAAAAAAAAGTATGTGCCGAGAGTGCACGCCCTGCACACACACAGAAAGGTCCCGATCTCTTTCGATCAGGACCTTTCCCGATCATGTGACAGCGAATCATTGCGGTCACATGACCCTAAAACCCCACCCTGCCTCCTGGAACCCTTAAAGGGCCAGAAGGCGCCGGCGCCAAAGGGTTAAATTCCAGCCAGTTGGGGAGAGTGAGAATTAGGGATGCACCGAAATTTTGGTGCCGAAACGTTTCAGCCGAAAAAAAAACCTTTGGGCCGTTATGGGGAAGAAAAAAAAAAACAAAAAAAAAAAAAGCACCAATACAGGTGCCAAAAACCCCCAGCCCTGGCCGTCCGCCTCTACCGCCACTCGGTAGTTCACAGCCTTACCTGAGAAACCATCGATTTCAGGGCTTGGCATAGAGATGAGCGATGTCACTTCCCGTTATGCCCATTTTTTTTTTTTTAAAGCACTAGATCAATAGTTTTTTTTAATCCAATGCTTTACATTGCAGAGGAGAGATGGGGGGAGGGTCTTATTGACCCCCCATCTCTCCATAAAGAGGACCTGCCACTAATTATGTCTATCACAGGGGATGCATTTCTTGTGATAAGAATAAAAGGGATTCAAATTTTTTTTAAAGGGACAGTGAAAAAAAAAAAAATTAAAAAAAAAAAAAAAAAATTAATTCAAAAAAAAAAAAAAGTTTAAAGCGCCCCCATCCTTGCACGTAGTGAACACATACCTAGGCCATGCCCACATATGTAAATGGTGTTCAAACCACACACGTGAGGTATCGCTGCGAACGTCAGAGCAAGAGCAATAATTCTCGCACTAGACCTCCTCTAACTTTACACTTCTATCCTGTAGAAATTTGTACAGTATCACCCATGGTGATTTTTAAGTACCGCAGTTTCACACCATTCCACGAGTGTGCGCAATTTTAAAGCGTGACATGTTAGGGATCTATTTACTCGCCGTAACATACTCATATTTTATAAAAAAAAATTGGGGTATGTATTTTTTTTTTTTTTTTAAAAATATATATTCTTTTTTAAAAACTGCACATTTCGGTTTTTGGCCAAGTGCATTTTGAGTTTTCGTTTTCAGCACCAGAATTTTTCATTTCGGTGCACCACTAGTGAGAAACTTGTGTTCTGAATTCATTTTGGCCAACTGACAGAAATGGAAGGTGAAGGGAAATCTATAAAAAAGCGAAATCCTTTATGACAGGAGACTTCCATTGTAGTGTCTGGCTCTGGTCATTTACCTGTTTGTTAGCAAATATTAACAATACCGCGTCTCGCAGCTCGTCTTCCGCCAACATCCTCATCAACTCTTCCCGTGATTCGTTCACTCGCTCCCGATCGTTGCTGTCCACCACGAAGATTAAACCTGCGTATGAACAGAGGCTGTAACACACAGTTGAAGCAAAAAGAACAACCCACTTTGTGGACAATATTATTCACACTACAGACCACACATCACATGAACAGTTCACAAGTTTGGCTTTACTACCAACAAGGCCTGGAGGTTAATTAAATCCCCCAAAACCCACGCACAGTTACAAACAACAAAAATTGCAAAAACTGTCCAAGAGATGGATTTACAAAACCTGCAGCCGGATGGCCTTTCCAGATCTGCACAGCACAGCCATCCAGAGCAGTGTGCTTACAGTGAGGCACACAAACCCCGCCCCCTAGTAAAAAACACTCCCTACACAGAGTTAACCCTTTGATCACCCCTCATATTAACCCTTTCCTGCCCAGTGCCATTAGTACAGTGTATTGGTGTCACTGGGGATGTCAGTTTTCCCCAGTGCCAAAATGTCCGCCACAGTCCCGCTATAAGGTCACTAATCGCCGCCATTACTAGTAGAAAAAAAAAAATCCCAGTATCTATTTATTTCAGGTACTTATATAGCGCCGTCAATTTACACAGCGCTTTTCATATATATTGTAGATTCACATCAGTCCCTAACCCTCAAGGGGTGTACAATCTAAGGTCCCTAACTCACATTCATACATACACATACTAGGGATATCTGTCCTGATATTCTGTATTGGTGTGGGGGGTTGTCCATTGTTCACTGTTATGTGCTGCATCCCATTGTTCTATTGTGTCTTGCTTGCCAGCAAACTATTATGGGATGTATGTGTTCCCGATTGTCTACTTCCACATGGTGTACCCTTTGTTCTATTGTGTCCCTTGGTTTGGTGGGGGGGTGTTTCCAGCAGCCCTTCCCCCTGATGGGACTGCCTGCTGATGTGTTTCCTGTTCCTGTTTGTATTTCCCCGCCTGTGTATATATCTTGTGTTTGTGTTAAAATAAAGTAGTTGACTTCCTGTCTTAAGAATAGTCTGGTGCTGTCTATTTCCTGTATGATCAGCGGTGGGGTCTGTGGATGGTGTTCGGACAGGGAAGCGAGAGTATAACGGAAACATCCTAGCGCAGTCAGGGTCCGGTTCCGTTACATTTACCAAAAACCATATAAATAGGTCAAACCCAAACAACTTTCAATTGTATCCAATTAGGCAGGCCCCTGCACTACATAGTTGAAGGTAAATCTAAAAGAAATTGAACAGAAAATTGTATAGTGTATGGCCAGCCTAAGGCGGAAATGTATGACAATTTGATTTTTAAAATTTTACTGGACATGTTTAATAGCAAAGTCAAAAATATTGTTTCTCAATTTTTAATTTTTTTTTACACAGCACAAAAAAACAAAACAAAAAAAAAACGCACAGGCCAAATACCACTGAAAGAAAGCTCAATTCGTGGGGTGGGGGGGGGGGAAAATTAAAAGTAAATTTCACTTGGGTGCAGCGTTGCATGACTGCACAAATGTCAGTTAAAGTAACGTAGTGCTGTAAAGCAAAAAATGGTCTGGTCAGGAAGGAGGTGTGGGGGGGGTGGGGGTGTAAATCCTCAGGAGGGCAAGTGGTTAACACTTTAAATATTGCTGGTAAATATTTGAATCTCGTGATGGTGTAAGAGGTGTTTCGGTAAATGGAGCCACACTGGTGTAGATCACCCCTGTAAGAGCTGGATTAAAAAAAAGGAGGATCAAGACACAACACACCTCGGGAGACGGATAGATGTTCAAACAAACGCAGAGAACTTTGTAAGCAACTACTGCCCTGGCTAAGTTCTTGTTAGGCAACTACCCAAAGAGGAGTTCACCAATACACAACATCGTCATACAAGGGAGGACAGTCTCCTGCACCATAACAATGTATGCCTCCACAGAAGAGATGTAAACTTTGTTGCTTACCTTGTGTGTTCTGGAAGTAATGACGCCAGAGAGGCCGGATCTTATCTTGACCCCCCACGTCCCACACCGTGAAACTGATGTTCTTATATTCTACCGTTTCAACATTAAAACCTGAGGAAGGCAAAAGGCGTTTACAGTCACTATACCGGTACAAATACACACGCAGCGATTGTGCGCTCAGTGTTGGCGCTCACCTATTGTGGGGATGGTTGTGACAATTTCTCCTAGCTTCAGCTTGTATAGAATAGTGGTTTTACCTGCCGCGTCCAACCCCACCATCAGAATACGCATCTCTTTCTTGCCAAAAAGGCCCTTGAAGAGGTTGGCAAACACATTCCCCATGTTGGAAATGTGACAGTGTCAGGAATGGCAAGAAAAAAAAAAAAAAAAAAAAAAAAAACCTGAAACAAAAAAAAAACAAAGTTAGGAATTATTATTATTATACAGGATTTATATATTATTATTATTCAGGATTTATATATTATTATTATTCAGGATTTATATATTATTCTACAGGATTTATTTATTATTATTATAACACAGGATTTATTTTTATTATTATTATTCAGGATTTATTTATTATTATTATTCAGGATTTATTTATTATTATTATTATTCAGGATTTATATATTATTCTACAGGATTTATTTATTATTATTATTATACAGGATTTATATATTATTATTATACAGGATTTATATATTATTATACAGGATTTATATATTATTATTATACAGGATTTATATATTATTATTATACAGCATTTATATATTATTATTATACAGGATTTATATATTATTATTATACAGGATTTATATATTATTATTATACAGAATTTATATATTATTATTATTATATTACAGGATTTATATATTATTATTATACAGAATTTATATATTATTATTATTATACAGGATTTATATATTATTATTATACAGAATTTATATATTATTATTATACAGAATTTATTATATATTATATTATTATACAGAATTTATATATTATTATTATTATACAGGATTTATATATTATTATTATTATTATTATTATTATACAGGATTTATATATTATTATTATACAGGATTTATATATTATTATTATTATTATTATACAGGATTTATATTATTATTCTACAGGATTTATATATTATTCTACAGGATTTATATATTATTCTACAGGATTTATATATTATTATTCTACAGGATTTATGGCGCCAACAGTTTGCTCAGCACTTTACAATATAACGGGAGACAATACAGCAACAATACAGTTCAATACAAGAGGGATAGGAGGACCCTGATCCAGGGAGCTTACAATCTAGGAATAGTTAGGACAACATACCCAGCATGCTCTTCTGCATTCAGCTGGTATACTTCTAACCCACTTTTGCATTTCTATAAGACTAGGATTGGCAGAAAACACACGTGTCCTAATGCACAAACCCAAATTGAAACCCATTGCCTACCACCCTATAGCAGATACAGGTGTACATCGGTTTATGAACGCCTCGGTTAACAATTTTCAGTTTACGAATGAAAATCTATTACAAAATAACGCCTCGATTTACAAATTTTTTTCACAATACGACCAGATTAATTATTTTTTTCAATGCATTTACAATTTTTTTTTAATTATGTCCCTGTACAGTATTTATGCCTTTAAAGTGCACTTTATAAAGAGGTTTGAACAGACTTTCACTTTTTTTTTCTGACCTCCGGAACAGATTAATTGGTTTTCGATGCATTTACAAAATTCATTTTTAACCACTTGCCTGCCGGGCACTTATACCCCCTTCCTTACCAGGCCAATTTTCAGCTTTCAAAGCTGTTGCACTTTGAATGACAATTGCGCGGTCATGCAACATTATACCCATATGACATTTTTATCATTTTTTTCTCACAAATAGAGCTTTCTTTTGGTGGTATTTAATCGCTGGGTGTTCTACTTTTTGTGCTATAAAAAAAAAAAAAAAAAAAAGCAAAAAATTTTGAAAAAAAAAAAAAAAGTGTGTTTTCTATTATAAAATTTTGCAAAACAGGTAATTTTTTTCCTTCACTGATGTGCATTGATGAGGTGACACGGATAGGTGGCACCGATAGGCACCGATCATCAAGGCACTGATGATCGGTGCCGATCCCCGCTCTGACAACTGCTGGTTCTTGGCAGTACTTTCCTTGCGCTCTGACAGCGTGAGGAAAGTGCAGCCGAGAAACGGCAATTGCATTTCCCGGTGATCAGCCTGTCGCTGAACACAGCTGATCATGTAGTAAAAGGGCAGCAGATCCCCGGGGCGTGCAGGAGAGCGTGTTCTGGGAGGACGTCATATGACGCCCTCCCAGAACTGGCCAGCCGCAGTGCAGCTGTCATTCGGCTGTGGTCAGCAACTAGTTAATCATGTCCCTGTACAGTATTTATGCCTTTAAAGTGCACTTTATAAAGAGTTTGGAACAGATAAGACTTTTTTTTAAACTTTTTTTTTCTGACCTCCGGAACGGATTAATTGGTTTTCAATGCATTCCTATGTGAAACTGCGTTTCGGTTTACAAATTTTTCACAATTTACGAAAATTCCCATGGAACTAATTAAATTCGTAAACTGAAGTACGCCTGCTGCTACAGAGTGGCCGCTCTATGAAAATTACACACACCACATTTTACAGTTCAAGGTAAGGAGTGCACACACCACCCGCACGGCCATTGGTTGCAGCAGATGTCAATCACTGGATCCCGGCCAGCGATTCTCGGTCGGCCACGGGCACTCTGATCGCCGCTAAAGCTGAGGAGCGAGAGATCTGTGTGTAAACACAGATCTCTCTCCTGTCAGCATGGACATGCTGCTTTCTGCCTCTACACAGCAGAGAGAAAGCAGCATGTCCTCCCTAGTAACATAGCACAGTTAACCCTTTGATCGCCCCAGATGTTAACCCCTTCCTGCCCAGTGTCAATGCTTTTTATTAGAACTGATCACTGTATTAGCGTCACTGGCAATTAGTAGTTCCCACCCAGGATCAGAATGCCCGTCGCAGTCCTGCTATAAATTCGCTGATCACCACCATTACTAGTATAAAAAATATAAAATTCCAGTATATATACCGCCATTTGTACACGCTATAATTTTCACGTAAACAAATATACACGTATTTGGATTTTTTTTGTATTGGCAAAAAACATGTAGTTGAATACATTTTGGCCTAAATTTATTTTAATGGATATCTTTCATCGCAAAAAGTCTAAATTTGTTTTTCCAAAATTGTCAGTTTTTGTTTATAGTGCAAAAAAACCCTAAACACAAAAAAAAAAAAAAAAAAAAAACAGCAGAGGTGATCAAATACCAAAAAAAAACTATTTGCAGGGGGAAAAAAAAAAAAAAAAAAAAAAAAAAGATTTTTAATTTATGTAAAGCGTTGCCTGACTGCGCAAGTGTCCATTAACGCAGAGCTGTACCACAAAAAATATCCTGGTCAGGAAGGGGGGGGGGGGGTAAGATCCTCCGGAGGGCAGGTGGTTAACCTTTTTTTAGAGTGAGGACCGCTTAAGTGACTTGGTAACTAGTCGCAGGCCACAATAAAATGAAACAGTTCAGAATTTTGGATTTTTTATTTCCAATAGAATGAACATTTTCCTCCTAAAGTGGTTGCAGGAGGAAAATGGAGAGGATCAGATCCTGTTTATGCTGCTTCCACCACTGTGCAACAGTAAAAGAATGTGACAGGGAGGCCACATGGGACCCCTGGGGCATGCAGTGGAGTCACCATTGTGACTACAGATGCTACACCAGTGGTTAGGGGTGTGTGTAAAAGCATGTTTCAACTATGGGGAGTTTAACCTCCCTCCCCCACCCCCCAAACGTAAAAGTCCTTACTGTCCCGAGTCCCCTATAAGGCTGCTTCTACACTTGCGCCATGTGTGCAGCACAGTGTACCTGGGGCTTTCCTGCGCTTTGCCAGGACTTCTTACTGCATTCAAGTGTTTTGTTACACGTTCAGAAAGCGCATCAAACCCACAAGATATAACCAAGTATGAGTCTCTGGTTTGAGGTCGAGGGCCACATCAGAGGGCTCCACTAGCCACAGGTTGAGCACCCATGGATGAAAAGTCAATCCCACCTTTTGCAACGCATTGCATCTGTGAAATGAAGCCGACTGTACACACATACAGATGTGACTTGGGTTAAGTTAAAAGAAAAGGTTTTTCTGAAAGAAAGAAAGAAAGAGAGAAAGAGAAAAAAGAAAAGGAAAAAGAGAAAGAAAAAAAAAGAAAGGGGAATTTTTTTAGGAGCCTGTAAAGCGTTGCACACCAGAAATCAGGCTCCTGCTGACTGTCTGCTGATATCCTGTAAGGACAGGCAGTTACTGAATGACAGGACGCATCGACTACTAGAGAGTTCACTAGCGCTCTGGTAGTTCATTAACCATTAGCCGCCCGGCCAATGGCCGTTTGGCGGCTTCAAAAGTGTCTCTGCACTCCGGGAGGACGCCATTTGGCGTCCTCCCGCACATGCGCAGTTTGCGCTAATGCAGAGCGGCGCAGCGGCGCGATCTGTCACCGGCCGCGTACCTCGGACACGGCCGATGACAGATCTGAGTACCGGCCCCTGTTGCAGGTACCATGTGACCTGCTGTGACCAATCACAGCAGGTCACATGACAGTTGTATACAATGGATGGCTTCATTCATGCCATCCATTGTATATTAGTGTCTAGCTGTGAATGGTCATGTGATTAGCTGTGACCAAATCACAGCTAAGCACAAAAAAAAAAAAAAAAAACCTGAATGAATCGATTTCATTCAGGTAAATGCTTGTTTATAGCAAAGTAATTCTTTGCTATAAGCAAATTGTGTAAAAAAAAAAAAAAATATATATATATACTGATCACTTCCCCAAAGTAGTACAATGTTACTATGGTAACATTGTACTACTTTGGTCATAGTAAAATCTTAAAAAAAAAAAAAAGTAATAAAAAATTTAAAATAAATAAAATAAAAAAATATATATATATTTTTGTTTTTTTCATACTGTCACCAGTCAGTTGTCCCTGTTCACCGCCATGCCAGTTATATGATGATGACGCTGTACTGCACTGGTGACAGTATGTAAAAAACAATAGTGAAAATAAATTTTTTTTATTTTTTCATTTTCCGAAAAATTATGACAAAAAAAAAATACAACTTCAAAAAACTCGCCATGCCTCTTATGAAGTACGTCGGACTGTCTACTCTGCAAAAAGGGGCATTTGGGGATATCTGTACTGTCCTGACATTTGGGGGATAATCTGTACCGTCCTGACATTTGGGGATATCTGTACTGTCCTGACATTTGGGGGATATCTGTACTGTTCTGACATTTGGGGGGGATATCTGTCCTGTCCTGACATTTGGGGGATATCTGTCCTGTCCTGACATTTGGGGGGATATCTGTCCTGTCCTGACATTTGGGGGATATCTGTACTGTTCTGACATTCTTGGACCTCAAGAAATTAGATTGGCTGTCAGTACTTCAGGATTGATCAATATTCAGATCTATACCATAGTTTGTGATCTCTATAACTTTCCTACAAACTAAATAATACATCCTAATTTGGGTTATTTTCACCAAAGACATGTAGCAGAATACATCTCGGCCTAAATTTATGAAGAACAATTATTTATTTACAAACTTTTATAACAGAAACAAAGAAAAACTTGGTTTTTTTTCAAAATTTTTGGTCTTTTTTTTTTGTTAATTTAGCAAAAAAATAAAAAACCCCGGCGGTGATTAAATACCACCAAAAGAAAGCTCTAGTTGTGTGAAGAAAATGATAAAATTTTAGTTTGGGTACAATGTTGTATGACCGCGCAATTGTCATTCAAAGTGTGAGAGCGCTGAAACCTGAAAAATGGCCTGGGCAGGAAGGTGTAAAATTGCCCGGTATGGAAATGGTTAAGAGCTACAAGCTGTCAGCTGCAAAGGCTGTTGGTACTTGTAGTTCATTCATAGAACTTTGTGAATGAATGATGCAGCCATTGTGACAGCAGCTGCGGGGAAAGGCTGCAGGAACATGTTTAACCCTAAAAACAGGTGAAACGTAAACACAGGGCTGGACAATTCCCACGCAGCAGGCCATCATGGTGACTAGAAATTGCATCCTGGTGCCTGGGCTTGTGTCAGCCCATCCACTGTTGGTCTGAATAATGTGTCTGCCTGAAACCCGGACACATTCAGACAGGAATGTGACTCAGAGTGGGGCCTGGTGCGAGGGTGAGGGGAGCGTAGGAGGTGGCGGCACCAGACCTGTGAAGTCAGGGGCGGACTGGACCGGACAGGTAGGACAGCAGCGGAGCATGGCATGAGGGGACTCGCCTCACCGAGCTCCCACTGCTGATCTTTCCAATACTCCTTCCTACATTGGCTCCTGCTTTCACCTTTTGCTGCCTGTGCTCCTGCAGAGCCCACCGGCAGAACAGAGGGGAAAGAGCGGGACCGAATCTCCAACATGGCGCTGCCACAGAGAACTCCACAAGGGGCTGAGAAAAGGGACTACTGTGTGAACAGGGCAATCCTGCAAAGCAGCCAGCCAGGGAGGGACATGCTGCCCTCTGTGTCCACTCTGCTCTGACACTGCTGGGGAGGATGTACGTAACATGGGGGAGTGTGTGTGTGTGGGGGGATTGTATTACTGTCCTACACCCTGCACACCAAGCCCTGCATGTCTGGCGTTCTGAACCCTCCTTCGGCACCCCATGTCCTTTGGTGACCTGCACCCTTCAATGGTACCCTGCACCCCATGTCCTGTGTTCTGCACCCAGAACCACATATCCTGCATTCTGCACCTAACTGCTTGCCTTGCCCCACACCATGCAAAAAAAAAAAAAAAAAAAAAAAAAAAAAAAAAAAAAAACACAACAAACTATCTATATACAAATAAATAAATGGACTTGACCTTTTTTTTAGCTGGCTCCTAGATTCAAAGCAAATTTGTGAAGCCATGATGTAACATGTTCCCAAAGATGAACTTATCCTTTAAATATATCAAGGGTTTTTGTTATACTTCAACGAGTGCAAGAAAACAAAACAAAAAACCCGTACAAGCCGAAAAACTTTAGCATTTTTCCCAGATCTCTCGATGGACAACCAAAACACCTCAGGATTATGGAGAGGAGGTGGTGTTCTGCAGTCCTCTCTTAGGATGACAATGTTTCTCCATAGATATAATACAGAGCATGAGCGTTGTCACCCAGGACAGGAAGCACAGTATCGACAAGATCACCAGGAAAAAAAAAGAAAGAATTTAAAGCAGCCACATCTAAAAGCTGGGTTTACATTAGTGGTGCCCCAAAGTGAAAATTGTGGACCGAAACAAAATTCAGGATGCACTCAGCCGAAAACCAAAACAGACAGTTCAAAGAAAAAAAAAAAAAAAAAAATTTAATTTATATTTTATATTTATATTTTATATATATATATATATATTAATTAAAAAGTAGAACTCAATAACGAAATAACTTACTGAAAGTAACCAAAAAAAGGTAAGCTTAAATAGGAGTTTCTGCATTGAAGTCAAGAATACGCAATTTTGCATTGAAGTCAATTACCATTAGTATAATCAGTCCAGGCAAGCAGACACTGACAGGATGGCTCAATGAACTACCACGGCGCTGTGGAACTGGCAGGCACTGGGACGCCGCTCTGAAGGAAATCCCCACGGCTTAATCTCCTAGCTGTTCTCTGGCGGCAGCCAATCACAGCTCAGGTATAAAACACAAGGCGGCAGGCTCAGCCTCCTGTTCCTCTTCGTCCAATCCCTGGCTGGCGCTGTGCGTGAAGTGTTCCGGCCCTGCCCGCTCTCAGGCTGGCGCCGCGTGTGAACTGCACGGTTCCCGCCCACTCTCTGGCCGACGGTGACGGCAGCACTGGGAATGCATTCTGGGGCAATGGCGGCACTGAGCAGTGCGGTGATGAAGCTGCACCTGGTGGTCCTGGCTTCCATAGTGGACAGCAGGGAGCGGAGGAATGAGGTATCAGCCAGGGTAGTCAGGACTCTGCCGGGGGAGCACGTGTCTGGCAGGGGACCTCACAGATCATATATGTGACCTGTATGGTACCTATTGGGGGGGGGAGCCCACACTGTTCCTCTTTGAGGTGTCTAGGAGGGGGCTACATTGATCATGTGTGGGACCCTTGTGTTGTACTGATCATATGTAACGTGTGATATGAGGGGGGGGCTGTGCGATCTGGGACGTCGAGCCCTGCAGCTCCCATATCGCTATGGCAACTATAAATTGCGCCTTGACGTCTGGGCTTTTGTCAGCCGCCCGTCAGGCACCGGGACGCCACTTTACTGTACAGGGATCTGAAATCTCTGTGGCGCAATCTCCTAACTTTACCTCTCAGCGTACAGACAAGAGGCATTCTAATTGGTCATCACGTGGACAGCGCTGATTGGAATCTGTATAGCCTGTCCTGTCAGTGCTGGTAGGAGAGAAAACCTTGGCAATTTCTAATCCCCACAATGGTGAAACTGCGTTCCGGTGTCTCTTTTCTTTCATTGGCTTTGAAAAAACTGGCTCCTAACTTTTTTTTTTTTTTAGCTGGCTCCTAGATTCAAAGCAATATTTTCAAGCCCTGTGGTAATGGTAGCGATCAGCGACTTATAGTGGGACTGTGATAGAGTGGTGGGCAATCTGGCACTAACAGATGCTTGCTGGGATGTACACACCAACTGACACTGATGTCAACAGTGACACCATTACAGTTATCACTGTACCAATGACACCGGCTAGGAAGTATGTCAACTTTACAACAATGGGGAGAGACAGCAAACCCCTCATCTCAATGGCTTAACCACTTCCCGCCCGGTCCATGTACATAAAACGGCCAGACGGTAGCAGTGCAGGGGCGAGTTGCACTTCATAAATGGCGCCCGTCATTTTGGACTGTGCGCGCTCCCTGGGAACACCGAACGCTGTACAGGACCCTCCGTGTGAGGTCCCGATCATGTAATCACTGATTGGCCAATCAGTGATCACATGCAGAGTAGTAAGCAAGAAGTCACTTCTGACATCATTGCTTACTACGTGTGAAATCTGTGAATGATCACAGAGGTCACATGGAACAGGGCTATTCACAACAGCCTTGTACCATGTGACAAGCTGTGACCAATCACAGCTCTCACAGTATTTCTCAATGGCTGCAAGAATGCAGCCAGAGAGAAGGAGAAATGATTGCTTTTACAGCCTTTATGGATGTAAAAGCAATCAGTGTGTTAAAAAAAAAAAAAAAAAAACACATCCCCCCCACAAAGAGTACTGTCACTATGGTGACACTGTACTGCTAGGGTGACAGTATGTTGTTAAAAAAATATATATAAAAATGTTTTTGAAAAATTATAATTTTTGGTTTTTTTTACTAAAAAGAGAACTGAATAAATTTTGGCCAAGATTTATGAAGAAAAAGAAAATTTTGCAAAGAAAAAAAAAAAAAAAAAAACTTTTTTCCCCAAATTTTTGTACTTATTCAGTTATATAGCAAAAAAAAAAATCCCAGTGGTAAATAAATACCACCAAAATAAGTTTTATCTGTCTCAAAAAAATTCATATGGGTACAGTGTTGCATGACCGCACAATTGTCATTCTAAGTGTGATAGCGCTGAAAGCTGGCCTGGGCAGGAAGGGGGTGAAAGTGTCCGGACTGGAAGGGGTTAATAACCAAACCATCAGGCCTAAGAACAGTCATGCGGGAGAGGTGTGCCTTAGCCTAAGGCAGGCTTTCAGAGACACGGAGGAGATTCAAGGACACGGCTACCACACACTACACAGGTATGATCTGTGTCTAAGGATAGATCCCAACCTAAATCACAGCTTACACCTGAACAGGAGACCATTAGCAAGGGTATTGACCGCAGAGAGAAAACAAATTCTACTGCTTTACAGAAAAAAACATCTGGAGTATGCCGTCCGGTTCTGGTTATCAGTCCTCAGGAAGGATGTGCTGGAACTGGAAAGAATCCAGAGAAGGGCGACAAAGCTAATAAGGGGACTGGAGGACCTCAGTTATGAAGCACAGCTGTAAACATTCTCCCCGAAGAGAAATGATTGATTAGGGGTGCACCAAAATTTCAGTGGCTGAAACGTTTTCTGCCGAAAAAAAAAAAAAAAAAATGCTTTCGGCCGTTATGATTAACCCCTCGCCTACCGGGCGCTTACGACCCCTTCCTGCCCCTCGCCTGCCGGGCGCTTACGACCCTTCCTGCCCCTCGCGCCTGCCGGGCGCTTACGACCCCTTCCTGCCCCTCGCCTGCCGGGCGCTTACGACCCCTTCCTGCCCCTCGCCTGCCGGGCGCTTACGACCCCTTCCTGCCCCTCGCCTGCCGGGCGCTTACGACCCCTTCCTGCCCCTCGCCTGCCGGGCGCTTACGACCCCTTCCTGCCCCTCGCCTGCCGGGCGCTTACGACCCCTTCCTGCCCCTCGCCTGCCGGGCGCTTACGACCCCTTCCTGCCCCTCGCCTGCCGGGCGCTTACACCCCCTTCCTGCCCCTCGCCTGCCGGGCGCTTACACCCCCTTCCTGCCCCTCGCCTGCCGGGCACTTACACCCCCTTCCTGCCCCTCGCCTGCCGGGCACTTACACCCCCTTCCTGCCCCTCGCCTGCCGGGCACTTACACCCCCTTCCTGCCCCTCGCCTGCCGGGCACTTACACCCCCTTCCTGCCCCTCGCCTGCCGGGCACTTACACCCCCTTCCTGCCCCTCGCCTGCCGGGCACTTACACCCCCTTCCTGCCCCTCGCCTGCCGGGCACTTACACCCCCTTCCTGCCCCTCGCCTGCCGGGCACTTACACCCCCTTCCTGCCCCTCGCCTGCCGGGCACTTACACCCCCTTCCTGCCCCTCGCCTGCCGGGCACTTACACCCCCTTCCTGCCCCTCGCCTGCCGGGCACTTACACCCCCTTCCTGCCCCTCGCCTGCCGGGCACTTACACCCCCTTCCTGCCCCTCGCCTGCCGGGCACTTACACCCCCTTCCTGCCCCTCGCCTGCCGGGCACTTACACCCCCTTCCTGCCCCTCGCCTGCCGGGCACTTACACCCCCCTTCCTGCCCCTCGCCTGCCGGGCACTTACACCCCCTTCCTGCCCCTCGCCTGCCGGGCACTTACACCCCCTTCCTGCCCCTCGCCTGCCGGGCACTTACACCCCCTTCCTGCCCCTCGCCTGCCGGGCACTTACACCCCCCTTCCTGCCCCTCGCCTGCCGGGCACTTACACCCTCTTCCTGCCCCTCGCCTGCCGGGCACTTACACCCCCTTCCTGCCCCTCGCCTGCCGGGCACTTACACCCCCTCCTGCCCCTCGCCTGCCGGGCACTTACACCCCCTTCCTGCCCCTCGCCTGCCGGGCACTTACACCCCCTTCCTGCCCCTCGCCTGCCGGGCACTTACACCCCCTTCCTGCCCCTCGCCTGCCGGGCACTTACACCCCCCCTTCCTGCCCCTCGCCTGCTGGGCACTTACACCCCCTTCCTGCCCCTCGCCTGCCGGGCACTTACACCCCCTTCCTGCCCCTCGCCTGCCGGGCACTTACACCCCCTTCCTGCCCAGGCCAATTTTCAGCTTTCAGCGCTGTCGCACTTTGAATGACAATTGCGCGGTCATGCAACATTATACCCATATGAAATTATTTTTTTCCTCACAAATAGAGCATTCCTTTGGTGGTATTTATTCGCCTCTGGGTGTTTTACTTTTTGCGCTATAAACAAAAAAAAAAAAAAGCAAAAAAATTAAAAAAAAAAAAGTTTCTTTGTTTCGATTATAAAATTTTTGCAAACAGGTCATTTTTCTCCTTCACTGATGTGCTTTGATGAGGCGGCACTGATCATCAGTGGCCCTGACGATCGGTGCCGATCCTCGCTCTGACAACTGCCGGTTCTCGGCAGTACTTTCCTCATGGTCTGACAGCGTGAGGAAAGTGCAGCTGAGAACCGGCAATTGAATTTCCTGGTGATCAGCGTTGCATTGGACACGGCTGATCATGTGGTAAAAGGCCGCTGTGATTGGCCTTTTATCACATCACGTGATCAGCTGTGTCAGTAGGACGGAGATCACCGGGTGCGCGCAGGAGAGCGCATTCTGGGAGGATGTCATATGATGCCCTCCCAGAACTGGCCGGCCGCAGTGCAGCCGTCATTCGGCTATCTGTGGTCAGCAACTAGTATAATAATAATAAAAAAAAAAAAAGGCACCGATACAGGTGCCAAAAAAACCCCGCCCCTCGCCGCTGCCGCTTGGTAGTTCTCAGCCTTACCTGAGAAACTATTGAACGATCCCGGTGCTGGGCATAGAGATGAGTGAAGGAAAGATGGCCTCATCTCTATGCCCTTGGAGAACCGAAGCGATGTCACTTCCGGTTCCGGCCAATTGATTTTTTTTTTTTTTTAAGCACTAGAATAGATCAATGCTTTACATTGCAGAGGAGAGATGTGGGGTCTTATTGACCTCTTATCTCTCCATAAAGAGGACCTGTCACTATTTCTATCACAAGGGATGCATGCTGTGTGACCCCAGGTTCACACCTAAGCGTTTTTCCGCAGCGTTTTGCAGTAACGCAGTACAGTCCATTTAACATGACATCCCTATGGGACAGGTTCACATATCTGTGTTTTCACCCGGTGCATTTTTTTTCGGAAAGGGTCAGGGACTTTTTTGAATGCAAAAAGATGCATTTTTGGTTCTATGGACTTCAATGGAAACGCTGCAGAGAAGCATATATTGTGTTTTTGATACGTTTTGAGTTTTAAATCTGCCTAGCAACAGGAAAAATTAAAAAAAAAAAAAAAAATGCAAAACGGAATCAAAAACGCAGGTGCAAAACGCAATGCAGAAATGGCTCAAACGTAACCTGCATAGGTGTGAACCCAGCCTTAGTCATGGCTATCATACAAACATTGTGACTACCATTTTATAACATTCCATTGTCATGTGGGGGGAAAGGGGGGGGGGGGGATAATTAATGAAAAAGCCAAGAATAAACTGTATTCAGCATCCAAGAAACAGATTCAACATAAAATGCAAACACACACACAAGCATAAATCAGCATATACTCGGAGTGACGGAGGGTGAAACAAAGGTTAATGCCTGAACACAATTTTACAAACTTGATGTGTTAGTAAAACTGTACATACGATCCCAACTGCTTTGTGTATCCGGGTGGATTATACTGCGTTTTATTCAGTCAGTCGTTCTAGGCGCAGCGGAGGGGACAGGTGCCGTAAGTGAGGCGTGACCGCACACAGCCATACCTAACCTGTTCTGCACACAGAGGTGGGAGGGAACGGGGATCACACTGAGCAGGTCACTGTGTGTATTTGTACACAATCACTGCAACATCACCTACTCTAGAGATGTGAGGGGGGCCCTGATCACCAGATGCCCCCTTCCCCCATTAAAGTTCTTAGAGCATTCCCCCTTGACATCAGTATCTGCAGAATTCCCCCTTACGATGTAGGGGGACACTCCGCAGGCCCCCCCAAGGCAAAGGGGGACACTCCGCAGGCCCCCCCAAGGCAAAGGGGGACACTCCGCAGGCCCCAAGGCAAAGGGGGACACTCCGCAGGCCCCCCAAGGCAAAGGGGGACACTCCGCAGGCCCCCAAGGCAAAGGGGGACACTCCGCAGGCCCCCAAGGCAAAAAGGGGGACACTCCGCAGGCCCCCAAGGCAAAGGGGGAATCAATGCACTGATGTAAGGGGAGTTATTGTGACCAGAGACGACCTTACATCAGAGTTCCCCTTTACATCAAAGTTTTCAGCATTCCCCTTCAGAGACTGGAGACGATCGCTCACTTATTACGATTTTAAAATGCAGCGAGTTCTTAGGGATCCCAAGAAGGTTAACAGGCAGAAGCTGAGAGGTATAATAACTGTGTAAACCTGTGCCGGGTATCTGTAAATATACATCACGGCTACATAAATGTTGAAAATAAAGCTGTGCTAAATTGCTTCCACACCTCCCTATAGCAGAAATAGTGCCACAGGGTGGCACGGGTACACAATCAAGTACACACACACACACGTGATTTTGCATTTCCAGGTAGGGGGCGCACACCCTAGCCAAGCCGCCTTCAGTCACCGAGTCCAGACCGGTGATTACTCACCAGCGTCTGCTGATGGGGAGCATCTCTGACAGGCGGGGCGGGAAAACTGTTTGTAAACACAGTTCTCCCTGTCAGCTCATACACACTGCTTTGAATGGTCCTGCAGAGCACAGCCAAAGCAGTGTGCTTACAGTGAAGCACAAAGACACAGCCCCAAGTGGGAAAAAAAAAAAAAAAAAAAAAAAAAAAAGCACTGATCACTGTACTGGTGTCACTGTCTCCCCCCCCCCCCCCCCCCCCCCCCCCCACTGTCAAAATGCCCACCGCAGTCCCGGAATAAGTCGCTGATTGCCACATTAGTAAAGAGAAAAAAAAATCCATTATATATATATATATATATATATCCATTTGTAGACACTATAACTTTCCCTCCTAGATTGTAAGCTCCCTGGATCAGGGCCCTCCTATCCCTCTTGTATTGAACTGTATTGTTGCTGTATTGTCTCCAGTTATATTGTAAAGTGCGCTGAGCAAACTGTTGGCGCCATAAATCCTGTATAATAATATATATAAATCCTGTATAATAATAATAATAATATATAAATCCTGTATAATAATAATAATATATAAATCCTGTATAATAATAATATATAAATCCTGTATAATAATAATATATAAATCCTGTATAATAATAATAATAATATATAAATCCTGTATAATAATAATATATAAATCCTGTATAATAATATATAAAATCCTGTATAATAATAATAATAATATATAAATCCTGTATAATAATATATATAAATCCTGTATAATAATAATAATAATATATAAATCCTGTATAATAATAATAATATATAAATCCTGTATAATAATATATATAAATCCTGTATAATAATAATAATAATATATAAATCCTGTATAATAATAATAATAATAATAATATATAAATCCTGTATAATAATAAATAATAATATATAAATCCTGTATAATAATAATAATAACAAAACCAATTAATTTACAAGTTTTGAGATTTTTTTTTATAGCAGACACGGAGCAGAATACATTTTGGCCAAATTTGACATTAGATTTTTTTTTTTACTTTTTTACTGGATAGGTTTTCTAGCAAAAAGTCAAAATTTACTCAAAATTGTCATTTTTTTTTTAAAAGAAAAAAAAAATAAACACATAGGCGATCAAATACCACCGAAAGAAAGCTCAAATTGTGGAAAAAAGATGTAAATTTCATTTGGGTGCAGTGTTGCATGACCGCGCGCAATTATCAGTTAAAGTAGCGCGTAGCGCCGTAACGCTAAAAATCCTCAGGAGGGCAAGTGGTTAAAAAAAAACAAAACCAAAAAAACAGGTTCCTATATTTTTAGCTGGCTCCTACATTCAAAGCATAAATTTGACAAGCCCTTATTTAACCACTTAAGCTCTGGAAGGTTTTATCCTCTGCATGACCAGGTAATTTTTTTGCTAGTTAGCACTGCGCCACTTTAACTGGTAAATGTGCGGTCATGCAACATTGGAGCCAAATTGTTTTTCCACACATCTAGAGTTCTCTTTCGGTGGTATTTGACCACCACTTTTTATTCTTTATTATATATAATTAGAAGAAATTAGAAATATATATATATATTAATTTCTTCATAAATTTTGTCCAAAATGTATTAGGATACGTTTTAGTTAAAAAAAAAAAAAAAATTCCATAAATAAATATGGTTTACTTGAAAGTTATAGCAGCTACAAACTATGGGATATACATTGGAATTTGTATTTTTAATTTTATACAAGTATTGGTGGTGATCAGCGACAATCTGACTGGAGTGGGAGGGGACTACCGCTGACATCACCAGTGACAATACTATTAGTCACACATACGGGACGTTTTTAAACCCACAGTAGTGGGTTTCTGTGAGGTTTTTTTTAGCTGTAAAAACGCTCTAATGTTAATGAAACAAAAAAAAAAAAAAAAACACCAATGCAAAAGCGCTAAAAAAAACCCTCAGGTTTTTGACGTGACTATACACAGCATTATTAAATGCCCCCCAGTGTGCATG